GGTAGAGGTCGGTAGAGGTCGGTAGAGGTCGGTGGGAACGGGTCGGTAGAGGTCGGTAGAGGTCGGTGGGAAGGGGTCGGAAGAGATCAGATAGGCGATCGGTCTGGTAACGGTCAGTGGCAATGGTAAATGGCAAGTGGCAAGTGGTTAACCCTCCACACCCCTGGCCCCTTGCGGTCTTCTTCTTGCAATGGATGACACACAGGGCCGAACCAGCCTTGCATGTACCACCCCAGAACCCGGAATTTGGACGTCTTGACGCAAGATTTTTTGCGAACTTGACCCCTCCAAGCCCCAACTTTGACCCCTCAGGCCCCGGAATTTGGACGCCTTGACGCAAGATTTTTGGCGAACTTGACCCCGACAAACCCCAACTTCGAGCCCTCAGGACGGAGGTCCATGGGCTCCGGAGGGGGCGTCAAAACCCCGATTCGGCTCAAGTATTATGCATACCAGGGGCTTTTCAAGATATATATATATATAGCATGGGAACGTTGGTAAAAGATGCATATCTTTGGCTTTAACAGCCTCAATCATGGGAGTCGTTTTGTTTTGTGGAGCTTCATGGCAGGCCGTGTAGCTTCTTGGGCTAACTGCCCTGAGTTAAACGGGTTGGATCAGGTTCGGACATATACAAGCTATTGAACTTCCCTGGGAATTCGGGCATCCTCCAGTCTCCAGTCTGAGGATTTTACAAGAGTTCCAGAAGTCTATAGACGGTTCTTCACAAAGGTGTTGGAGGAGCCATGGCTATGGGTACTCAATCGCATTCAAACAGTCCTTTTCCTTTTATGAACGATTTTGGATCCCAACAACGTTATGGATCCGGGCTTCTTTGGTACCTACGCAATTATATGCAATTCTATATATAATATAACTCTTTGAAGGTCCTGGTACTTTTGTGTTTAAAGGAAGACGTTCAGTCCACAATCAGCGTGACCCCAAATTAATGGGCTAAAAGTGGATCCCCGTTCAACACGTGTTGGAGACTGTTTCCAGCTATTTTGGGATGCACTCTGACCGGGTGTCCGTTCCAAAGTCTCCCATGATTCCCTGTGATCAGGCCGTTTTGGAGCGAGCCTTGGCCCTCGTGGGATGGATTGGAGACCTGAACTCCACCCATTCACTGTGTAGTTTTGTTAAATATATCCGAACAATCTAGACAGGGTGGCAAAAGGGGACCCTAAATTTGTTTGTTTGGGGCGTGTAGGACATTTTGCAGTCAATGCTTTAGCTGTGGACCCATGGGTATGGGTTGAGAAGAAGTCGGACACTGACACACTTGACAACCCCAAGATGAAGTGGGTCAAAGCAGCATCCAGATTTTGCAGTGGGATCATTCTTTTTTGTGGATAGGCATATGACCCACACTTCATGCTCAGTGGATCAACAGCCTTTGGGTCTCGCAACTCAACTACAGCACGTCCAGCTCCGCCGCCTTGGAAGTCCGTCGCCGAGGAACGTACCGCTTCCGTCGTGATGGACTTGTCTTGGAGGCGAACTTCACCTTCACAGCACTGAACCCCTTGTCCAAGGTGGAGGCTGACGGGGAAGTCGGCACGACGCCAGAAAGTGACGTCGGAAAGGAGCGGCCCATCATCGAAAGTGACCCTAAAAAGGGAACCCCTGGAAGATGGTTTTTGGTGTAAAGTTTAAGCATATCGTCCTACTTGCAAAGAAACTCAGGACAAGTGCGGTAGAAAGCAGCAGGTATAACTTTTTTGCATATTTAACAACATGAAACAACAACAGGTAGAAACTGGTGGTCATGGTGGTGGTGGTGGTGGTCGTAGTAGTAGTAGCAGCAGCAGTAGTAGTAGTCGTCGTAGTAGTAGTAGTCGTAGTAGTAGTGTGGCAGTGTTAGTGGTAGTGGTGGTGGTAGTGGTTGTCGTAGTCGTAGTCGTAGTTGTAGTAGTAGTAGTCGTAGTAGTAGTCGTAGTAGTAGTAGTAGTCGTAGTAGTAGTAGTAGTCGTAGTGTGGAGTGGTAGTGGTAGTGGTAGTGGTAGTGGTGGTGGTAGTTGTAGTCGTAGTCGTAGTTGTAGTAGGAGTCGTAGTAGTAGTCGTAGTAGTAGTAGTCGTAGTGGTAGTGGTAGTGGTAGTGGTAGTCGTAGTAGTAGTCGTAGTAGTAGTAGTAGCAGTAGTAGTAGCAGTAGTAGTAGTAGTGGTGGTGTCGTACTTTACTACTGTAGTAGTTTTGATTCGAGATGCGTCTCAAACAACACTAAACCAACAGACTTTGGAGTGGTTATACAATTCAGTGTTTGTCGTTTGCTGTGTCAAGTCAGCCCCTCAAATGATGATGTTCACATTCCCAGCATTGCTTGATGGACTGTACATTCTTAATGCACGTGAAACTTTTTCCATTGTCGGTTTCATGAAGTTGTAGGCCCTTGCTTTCGGGGCCAGAGGGATATCTTCCGCAATCCAAAGATGATGGCCCTTTCACTGCCGCAGCCGCGTGGATGAGGAAAACATGAGCTTATCATCTCCCTATCTCGGGCTCCCTATCAAAGCGATGTCTCCCTATCTCTGGCTATCTATATCAGGATTCACATCGACAATTTGGCTCAGTTTCATCTCTGATTCGGCATCACTGAATGTGAGATTAGGATGGATTAGGATGTTTGGAAGCCTCCTTCCGTCCCTGCGGGGCTGGGCGCCCGATGGGTCCAAAGCTGGGGTATGCCGGTTCCGTGAAGCTGAATCGAAAGCTCGGGTATGGGTCAAACACCAGATTGAACGACAAGTGAGTAGATGATCATATGAGGTAAGCCTACATTTTTTGTGACGTAGATGGATGATGAAAAATACAACCTGGATGGTAAAACGTCTACATCTAGTTTCTTTTTTTTGATCACCAGTCTGTGTTCGCTGTGAAGCAGGTGTGGTTTGGCACCTCTGATGACTGGATCGGAAGCACAGATCAGCCAGCGAAGGAGCAAGGCGCTGGTAGAATCATAGAATAAATCACGGCTGGAGACCCCGGACGCTTGTCGATTGGTGGCTTGTTCAGAGGGTAGATGAGGTGCACCAATGGCAGGGTAGAAAATGAAAGAACCCCCGCGGAGATTTGCTGCTTGACCCATGATTGGCCCATGCTCTTTCATCTTCTCTTCCTGGATGGCTTTCCACCGTTACAGAGATGGGACAGAATCATATGGACTCCTCAGCCTTTCACACGGCCCTAAGTCAGGCTCCGTCGTGGAGGGCTCCTGAAGGATTCAATTGAAGGTTCTGGGACCCACCCGTCGGTCGGAGATCGCTCGAGACTGGTACACGACCGGGTCAAGTTCGGTCGTTGATAGGCCCTGACCAGTTTGGATTGGTAGATCCTGGAAGGAACAACACGCAATCCTGCATAACTTTTGATATAAGATCCATTCAATATAAGTTTGGAACTGACACATTTATGAATGCTGTTGTGGAGATTGAGCAAAGATGTAAATCCGATGAGCGAAATCCAAGCCTCATATCAAATTGGTGTCCTCGTCCTTAGTTTCCTGGTCCCCTTGCATTCCACACAATATCAATGTGTTCTGTCCTAAGTTAAGGTAGACTCCATGACTATTCTCGCTTCACTTGGATCGAACTGGAGGGACGGATAAGAACACCGTCTGACCCTGCAAGTCGGAGTGAAACTACCAGATGGTGAAACATGGTGGAAGCATGTAGAATCTTCTTTGGACCGGGGATTCACCGTCTCTGTGCTCGGATCGGCTCCAGGGCATTTCCTCGGCACCAGCTTCCAGCCGCGCACCAACGGCCAAATCCTGCGCGTGCATTCTGGTCCCTGGATCCGAGACGATGAAAAAGCCGTTTGAAAAGGAAGGCAAGGGGACGCAAGAAAAAGCTTCCCAAAGACCTGCGATCCAATGGGATTTTGGGGGGCTGGCCCAAAGATGTTGAGTTTTGCTAGATGGTGTTCAGTACGTTTTCATTCCACAGTGGCAAAGTGGATCAAATTGGTATGTTGCTGGTGACCTCATAGACTCCAACACCTGCTCTGGCACCTTTCTCCCTTTGTTCGTCTCCGAGGTCCCGGGCCGAAACCGGTTTGAGCTTGGGAGTTGGAGATCGCGGGTGATCGTGGGTAAGAGGAACTAGGCTGAGCCAATGAAAAAGCTCCTAGTAGCGTCCTAGTTCCTATTAGTAAGAATGCTCCTAGTAGCGATGCCAGGAGCCCCTAGCAGCGATGCCCTTGCCCCTGGTAGCGTCCTTGTTCCTAGTAGTAAGGCCAGGAGCCCCTAATAGCGTCCTTGCTCCAAGTAGCGATGCCCTTTGCTCCTAGTAGCCGATTTTTGCTCTTTTTGCAACTTTCCAGAAGATTCACTTGAAGGGTGACCATTGCATTTCTCCTGGAGATTGGCCAATCTCCTCGCCCAGGAGAAGGACTCCTCGTTAGAAACTCTACCTCTCCCCCATCTTCAAAGGCTTAAGGCTTCTGCTGCTAAACATTCCTGGAGAAATATGAATACTTGTTACAGTAGAATTTGTAGACAAAACTCACATGTGATACAGAGTTTCTAGATCCTCTACGGACCATAAAACCAAAGTAAACCATTTCTTTTCCTCTCCCAAACATACGCCCCGGCCGTATCGTCGTCGATTTGTATCGTGGGAAGACTCTTTCTTTATCATTTGTGCCTGAGGGGCCGAGACGCTCTTCGTCTTCACCACACATCCAAGCAGCCAAGCCTTGATCCGCTCGCAGTATGGCCGTTGGGCACTGATTCGAGCTGCTGGGACTTGGAGTGGGGGGGCGGTCAAGGAGGGTCCTGCGAAAGCAGATGGGAGGTTCCTGGCTGGTGAACGGAAGAAGGGCGGGAGGTAACTGCTGTTTGAGGCGGGAGTTTTGGGTGGGAGCTTTTTGGGGAGAGGATCGTGAAGATGTCAAGTTCAGAGCTGGAGCTGGGGTAGAGTTCTCAAGAACAGGACTTGGGGATGGGGGTAATCTGGGTGATTGTAGCAGTCACTGTTATTTTATTGTTATTGGTTTAAATGAGACATGGCAGGTTTGAAGTGATGAAACCAAATTTCACAGGATCTTTGCTCTGCAGACAGATCCACTTCTTTGTCCTGACTTTGTCATCGGCACCAGCTTGGTGGGTAAGTTTGGGTCATCCCCCTTCGTCCATCAACCGTCCAAACGCATCCCAAAAATCCTCAGTAGCAGACTGACCGTCCAAACGCATGCTGAAGCCAAATGAAAACAAAGTCCCTTCGGAACTTCGACCCAGTTTGGGAGTTCTGGACTTTTTTGACCAAGCAGAGGGACATGGATTCATGGATTCACTCTGAATTCACTCACTGAGTTCCCATTCCCTCTTTTTCCAGCCAATCAGTTCCAGCAAGCCCGACCCATCATGAAACCGATTTGGATCCCAGGAGCAGACGCACTCGGAGCTGGCCTCTTCGAGAGATGACGGGGCCTATGGGATCTACGTGCCACGACAGGAAGATGGGGGAGAGGGGGAGTGTACTGGTACAATGACGTGTGTGAAGTGACTATATAGTGATCCGCAACAAGAGATTACACAGGAAGACTTCGCCCCAGACATCTTGCACCACTGGTCGTGGGGAAGACCGGAGTTTTCTATGATCCGTTTTGGGGGTTCCAGATAGTGTAGGACTTCTTCCATCAGTACACACTAGAAATCGATGTTTGACCACTTTGACGCGTAGCTTTCAGTTTGACATAGACGATTCTTAGAAGAGCTAAAATATGCTAAGACTTTACAGGTGTTTGGGGGCTCCAGCACAAACATAAAGCAGCATGTTTAACACCTACCGCTCAAGGGCTTAGTCGTACAACTTGCACCGCTCGTATTCTCCAGGCTCCGTTGTTTTTCCATGTCGAGACGATTTTTCATCGCCTCCTTGGAACGATGTCCTTTCATACTTGTAGCTCATCGACATGGAGAAATGAGCCTCGTTATTTTTAGAGTGTGAGGTTGCTTTCTGGGCGACCTTTGCGCAAGTTGGTTGATCTGAAAGTAAACATTCATGGTGGACACTTCCTACTTAGTTAATGAAAGGGAGGATGTCCAGAAGCCAGACGAAGTGCATTTGCACAACAAGCGATGCTTTTCGTACTCCCAAGAAAATCATCGCTTCATAAAGCCCGCTCCATGGTTACTTGCCATGGTTAGGCTCCATTAGGAGGCAACAGTTCATGTGAATATGCTGATTGCAGATGCTTCGATTGGTGACTGTCATTGATGATAGAGAGTTCTCTAGTTTGAGTCAATTTGAGTCTATCTTGAGATTCTGGCCTTTGCAAGGGCATTGTTCTTGTGAGAATTGGTGGCTTGGAAGATCCTTTCAACATGAGATGCCTCCAACAGTCACATGCTTTGGGGACAACCCCTGCGTTTCTAGAGGAACAACCGTCTTCACCCCTTCCCCGGCTGTCAGCGGAGCAGATGGACCCTCTGAATTCACCCGTGGTTTCGAACGCTGACCATTCGACCAACCCAACGTGGTGACATGGGGTTCCATGTGGTCCTCTGCTGGAGGGTACTTCCAACTGCTTCTTTTCTCGGCAGAAGGTGGACACCCCCACCTCCTGCCCCGACTTCGCTCATGCCCTGACCCCGATATGAAACGCATGTGAGTGGAGCCTACGAGCAACATCAAAGATGCCCAGGTGCCTTTGGGCGAGATGGCCGCGGAGCAAAGCAAGTCCGCTTGCTTCTACTACGCAGTCACTCGATGTTTACTGCTGGGTGGTTGACGGGCAGAGAGAGGGCGTTTTGATGCTTTGCCAAGGATCTCGAGGAAGAAATCTGTTAGAGGAACATGTTCGGATCTCTTGGAGTTTCAGCTTTAGCATGTCGAGCATGTCAAGTCCAGTTATGCCCACATTTTTTCACGACAGCCGATGTTGAGTGACACCTTTTCTTCCTGAAAAATATCGAGCAAGTCCTGGAGCTCTTGCGGGATATCCTGGTTATATCTTATATGATCTTATATGTATATTATTTGCTGGAGTCCATGTTCAATCCACTAAAATAAAGGATCAGGTATGGGTAGTGGACAACCAAATCTATCCAAATCTAAATCGAAGGGAGTACTGAGGGCTCAAGCTCTTCTCGGGTTGTTTCGGATATACTCCCCACAGATAGCTACCACATCCCCTTCCAGAAGTGGAGCATTCACCTGGTATGCGGAGCATTCTCCGGATTCCGGTGCTCGGATGCTCTGCCACTAGACGCGTTTGGGTGCACACTCCACCTTGTCCCGCTGGTTTTGATTGTGTGGCGCATTCTCAGCAAAGGACCGTGCTTTTGACCATAAAGCGCGGGGATGCGTGGGTACTTTTTAAGGATATGCAACCTGGCCAAGAATATATGCCAAAGAGAGCATGTCCTCGGAAAGGTCCTCCGCTCTTGATGTTTTTATCATGTTTCTATCGAAAAGACGTTATAGACTTATAGAACGTCTGGGTTTTTCCCTGCCCCCCGAGAACTCAGGGATGACCAAGCTCTTTCGTTCGAGGCCGCGGGGAACTCGCACCTGGAAGAGCTCCTGCGGGCGGCCAGTTCGATCGGGCGACCGCAGCGCCGCTCAGACGGCAGGGTGTCCGCCGGGTGGGGGTTCGATGGGAGCAAGGTGGGCCCAGCTTTGTGGGTTTTGAGGTGGCTGTGAGGTTCTAGGAGGTGAAGAGAAATCAATTTGGGCACCGGAGACCCATGTCATGAGTGAATCTCAAAACATGACATACTATTGTCCAATTCGTATGTCAATAATCAGATCGGCCTGCCGGCCGGTGAAAGGTGTTGGAAGGTCTTGAGACGCACCCGTCGGCCGGGCCTCAACAGGGGCCGACAGTATCATCGACCATTTCCTCGAAGAAACGCCGGGAGCTTGGTATACGCGCGGTACTTGCGAGAACCAACGCAAATCATTGTACATACTTTCGGAATGGCGAGGTGATCTTCCAGACTCAATGTGCGAATCCATTTCCCTGCAGTAAAGCAACCTAAACCAAGGACCAAAAATTGTAGAGTATTGTTTATGAGCAAGGGCTTCATGGACAGGATTTCTGTGAAGATGACAACGTGTTCAATAAATACAAAGAGTATACAGAGTACTGTAAGAGTTTATGTAAGTATTTGTAAGTTATTGGCTACGCAACAAACTGTGCCAGTCTGGGTGCGAGTGAGCACCTAGCGCCAGAGTGTGTTTCAGGACAGGCAAGGTGTTCATGCAGGATTCCCTTTTCAAAAGATGAGCAAACGCTGCCAGTTGATGGTTTCATGGGGTTTGACGTCAACCACAACAAACGTTGTTCACATTCCGCAGCTGGCAGTGCGGGCAGTGTGTTAACTGGTAGGTCATGCTCTGTTGAAGCGAAGACCGAGGACAACCATACCCCGAACCTGCTGCTCCCGCGCCCGCGCCAGCAGTGCCCGAGAATGCATCTGGTCCAGGGAAGCAGTGCCACGGGGTTTGGGGATCCAAATGAATGGAGGTTGATGGCGATGGCCCAGAAGTTCTGAGCTCAGCTGAGTTTGCTGCTGTTTATTGAGCTTTGCTGAGTGAACCGACATCAACGCTGTCATTTTCCAGCAAGAATACCCCTCCAGAGGTTTGACATACTAGTAGTACAAGTGAAGCTCACATAGTAGCTCACATGGTTGTCTCGGTGTTTACTTCAACACCAAGAGTCCAGCAATGTCCGGCATGCTGTGGTGCAGAGGTGGTCTGGATTAGGTGGAAGTGATGGCATGGAGTATTATATATATATGATGAGGTATTATGTTATACTACATATAATATCCCAACTTAAATTGACACATGCTTGAATGTCATTGCTTCGGAAGTCCAAGGCTCCCATCCCTCGCCAGCCTCAGTACACTATATTTTGCTTAGAACCAGGTACATACATCCTAAGGAGAGTTTGCCGACCAGCTGTAACCAAAAGCTGTTATCTTTCAGCCAGCTCACCGGTCAGACACCAGTCAGTTGCTATTTTGGTTGCAACCAGAAAACATGTTTTGGACATCGGGAGCCTTCCCACCATTTTCGCCCCAAAAAGCAGAGGCTCGTCTCTCACAGACCCACCCCACCACAGTGGCCGCCTCACGGCGCGGCCTCTTTTTTTGGCTCCGGCTCATGACGTGGTGTCGTGCGCGGCCTTCCTCGTAGCCCATCGAGGTCCTTCAAAGCGATTACCTCAAGTTCGCTTTGATGAGCCACGGAGGTGCCATTCTTTTTGTTGGACCAAGTTGAGAGGATTCTTTGTAAGAACTTGATTGCCATTCTGCCAAACAAGTATGGTTTCAGTCTTCCTTCGAGGTTGCCAGTTCACAAAGCAAGCGTTGGTGAAGATTTGACGATCATATGAGTATAGGGGATGGCATCTTTTCATGGTGACCGGGTTTCATCACGCCGACCGCATTCTTCGGCGATGCCGCGCGAGGTTTGGGTCAGCCCTTCTACGCCAGCAGCGGAACCGGCGCCAGCGCCAGCGGAGCGACCGAGACGTGGACGAAGCTCACCTCTGGGCGGAAGCCGTTGCATTGCACGGTCAAGGTGCGAACCTGGTGGCGAAATGTGGGACCCACTGGGATGGGGAGAGATCCAGGGACTGTCTGTAGATGACCTATGGTAATGCTCTTTGATGCTCTATGTCTCAATGTTTGGTGCATTGAAAGAAGTCAGGTGGCCTTCTGAAAAGAGTCACCTATGACAGGGTCTTTGAAGGGTGACGCAGTTGCCCACTCACTGAGTCGTGCGTGGCATTTTGGACCAAACACTGAGTCGTCGCCCCGGGCATAGGCCACACGGCCAGCATGCATCAAACAGTTACTGTACTCCTCCTCGTGAAGACCGCTCAAGAGGGCCTCAAACTGGTCATTTCTATAGATTCTATAGGCACCCACCTGGTCCCACCTGGTCGGAAGCACGTCCCAGAGTTCGAAGCCAGTTCCTGCAGATGTCTCGAGCACGGACTGTCCAGGTGGATGGAGTCAAGGTCAACTTTGAGAGCGGCTTGACCGATTTCTCGCGATTCCTCGGACGGACGTGGGGGACAGGATGGACGTGCGGGACAGGACGTGCGGTTCGTTCATCACAAAAGGTGAAGCGAGAAAAACGAGCCAAATCCATTCACCACCTCAGCCCGGACCCATCGACCAAAAGGGTTGCTTATGTATAAGACATTATAGGACGCAGGTGTGATTCACAGCTTCTTGTGACGAGTCCAGGGTCGTTCACTCTTTCTTGCTGATTCTATGGTTTCTTTAGCTTGTTTCACCTCAAACCCTCTCTACAATGTCCAAAATCTCACACATACACACACGCACACACGATCAACATCCAAGCAACACCACTAGAACATGTTTGCTCCTTCTTCCTGCTTGGATTTCCAGCTCACACCCACACTGCAAGCATGTGCTTTCCAGAAGAACACCTGCCACGCTGCCACGCATCACTCGTCCACACGAGCACGAGCGCATTGCTCTGAGATCGCGCATCAGGGGTCAGGGTGGGACTGAGGCGATCCAGATGCTGTGAAGTGGTGGGACCGCTCCTATGCCATGGCCACCTCTCAATTGAGACCCATGGACCAGCCTGCCGTCCGGACGCCCGGGAGAGATTCTGGCGGTGTGGCTTCAACTGTTTACAAGTGGCAATTCCCCTCCCCCAGTGCGCCCTCAAGTGTTTGTTGTGTTCCTCTATTTTCCTCTCTTACTCATCTCTCATTTGCATTTTTCATGAATCCATGTGTCACTTTTTAGGGGGTACTATGGTGCAAAAGAATTCAAACGAGATCATCGGTGGGTGGCTTGCATTTTCAGCAAGCGGAAGATCTACAGGGTCAGGTTTACAAGGTGGGGAATAGTTCTATCAGTAACATGGCTGTTTTTTGTTGAAGGACCCAAGATGACTGGATAAATATTTTATCTCTGGTGCTTTCAGTTCTGATGTTCCAGAGACATGCTTCTTGATGTCAAGCACAAGTGCTTGGCTCGGGGTTCTCTTTCGGGTGGTCTGGGTTCAGCTCGGTGTCCTTCATTCTGCATTGAAAGAATGCCAGCATGCTTTGATTTGGGGATAGGCTTTGTTCACTAAGCACAAAGTAGAAATTCAAATCTATATACAGTAAGCCCGACGTAGTAGCAACTTGCGCTTCAGCATCAGTCATAAGATTCTGAATGCCCACCCTGGACTCCAACCTCCAGACATTAAATACTCCAACTTCCAGAAACGAAATCGATATTACTTCTCATGTTTTCACACCCCTCGGGCAGCAGCAGAGCGTCCAACCTGACAGTTCGTGGCTGAGGCTGTCCTAACTCGATGCTTGGCACGAGATGCAGCCCGTAATTTGAGGTTATGATTCTGAAAGCAGCTTACTGTAACTGTATATACATAATGATCATACATATGTCTACGTTTCTAATGGAATGACCTACCTTGGTGTCTCCTTATAGTGATACAGTGATATAGATCAATAGTACAGATTCATGACATGACTCCTTCTATGGACCTTCCGCATGGCTGACCGGTCTTCAGGATTCCCTTCACAGATATTTATAGTATCCTGTATCTCCAAGTCAACTGATTTTTCCCACAATCTCTCCGCTCAACTTGGGATTACAACTGTTCCAGTTACAGTAGCCACTATCCTTCTTACTCATGTCCTGCAGGAGATGCATGTCTGGGACTCATTGTGCAGATTGCTTCAAAACAGAATCTGCATCTGCGTGTTATAGTGATACGCATGAGTCAAGGGGCAGAGAGATCCATCAACACAGCTATGGAAGCCAACGATCTTGCTAGTCCACCTGAGTCCTGACATGGAATTCATGGCCAATTTTTTTTAGGACTGGAGGCCTGTTATCAGTTTCAAGCCTTCAAAATTAGACAAAACAAGAAGCTAGAGGCCATCGCTATTAGGTTGGAGGTCATTGCTATCAGGTTGGAGGCCATTGCTATTCCCATGGAGGCCATTGCTATTCGGTTGGAGGCATATAGAGGGCAGCCAGGTGAGAGCACCTCGCTACCCAGACTGGTGGAGCAACTCCCCTGATGCCATGAGCTTCGGTGCCTTTTTTTCGGTCAAAGCCGCCCTGAGCATGTTGGATGAATCAACAGAATTGGATGAAGCACCGTCATGTGCCACAGGAAGCTATAGCTTTAAGAAAGATGGCATGGTCTTTGCCGCCAACTTCACCTTCACAGCTCTACGAGATCTGGAAGATATCCAGGCGGCTAGGGCTTTTTTGGGTGGGTTTCTGAAGGCATTGGGGGTCGCTTCTTACCCTCACAACCTTTCTAATGAGGCGATCAAGGTTTCTTTAGTTTTAGGATACGTTAGGATTTGTATGCTGGGGGAGCTCTGCATGAAGACCATTGGGATGTTTTTGTCTCAATTGCGGCCTTGAAAATCCTTGTCGAAGATCCTTTCCACACAAATGAGCAAAAAGAGGGACTGAGAGGGGCGCCACTCTTAAAAAGGCAACCACACAAGTCATGACAGGTGGACCCCAGAATTTGCATCCGCCAGCGTGTGGGTCAGGGGAATTGGAACCCTCCATTTTGTAGCCCAAGTGTGATGGTCTCACACCGCCTCGCGGGCGCGCCCGAAAAGGACAGCAACGCACGGCGTCCATCTTCCAACTGTATATCTCCCCAAAGAATCTGACTTGGTCAGAAAAATCCATCTCCATCCTTGGACCCTCATGGCCATTCATGGCCAAATCCATCTCCCACACCAACTCGCTGCATCCGACACCCTGGGACTCCAACGCTCCCGGCAGCTCGGCCAGGTCTGGCTGGGCACCTCGGACGATTGGATCGGCACCACCGATCGAGCCCACAAGGTCAAAGGCGCGGCACGTCGCGGCAAGTCAAGCCGCGGCATGTCGCGAAACGCGGGTGGCAGCGCGGAGGTCGAACAAGGTGAAAAGGAACAACTTGAGAAATAAACAGATATAAAAAGAGATATAGGATTTAGGATGCAAGGAACCAGTTAGAGCCTTTTGCTCACACCATTTCACCGCCTTGATTTCCACCCACCGGCCACACACCGCCAGAAACAACCTCCGCCGTCACGGCCGACGCCGACGTTTTCCGAGGTTTCGGGATTGGACCGCCCCAACCCCCCACGGCTCGGATCAGAAATCAGGCTGAATTCACGATAATTCACCGTTTGGGGAAAGCGGCTTGACAGGCCACTTCAAGGACGGCTCCAACTTTCATCCGACTGAGCATGGCCAGATCTTGAAGGTTTACTCAGGCCGGAGACGGCGGACAAGGTCCCTCGAAACCAAGCTATAGAGAATCAGAAGGCACGAGGTTGAGTGGCGAGTTTGGGGTTGGTGTAGGAAGAGTTCTTTGGTGAGTAGAGATTTCTGTTTCTCGAGACTCCAGCCTCTTATTGTGGTGCAATCCTTGCTTGCTACTATATAGTTACTAGTATAGCGATGGACTCCAACCTACTTGCGATGGCCTCCACCGAGCATAGCGTCCTCGCTACTAGTGAGTAGAGATTCCTTCTCGAGACTGAAGACTGTGGAATTGGACATCGCAATGGGTTGGGTTGAGTAGATGGGCCACCACTGTTCCAGGAATGGTCACTCTTTGCAGCAGTCGGTTGGGGTTTTTGACATATACTTCGACATATTTAGTTGCAGCACATCGATTTTGAATGGCACCTGTTGAGCTGGCAGACTGTTGGTGTCGATCCGCTTCGATCCTCAAGAGATCCGCCTACCGGGGACGAAGCATCACCTGTGCAGCGGTTTGGGGCGAACATGTCACCATCCTGCGGGGAAGTTTCATGCAGCTCCTGCTAGCGATTTGGACACAGAATCGAGACTTGTTCACGTCCCCCATTTCCACCCGAACATTCAGGCGCATGACAAACCTCAAACATGCGTAAACATCCAATGAGCCTCTTATATTGAGGACTATCTACCCCGAGTGAAGCCAAGAAAGTGTACAGAAATCCGCTTCCATGCTTTTCCCAAGCTCTTCTATGAAGCCATCCATTGTTGTTGTGCAGTGACTTAACCTGGATGGATGGCAACAAGCAAAGCACTTAGTGACTTAGTGTGGGCCCCCATCATCCAAATGGTCTAACTTGGTGAAATGTGCCAGAGTGCCAGGCTCATGCTCAGTCTCCAAACCAGGAACCACCAAAGACTCAGACCCTAAGGTCGAAGCCAGCCACCCCGCCAGCCCCTCCCTCTCTTCCGAGCGTCGGGGGACCCCGGCGGTGAGGCGATGAGTCGGTCTTCTTCTTCAGTCCCAACAGCGAGAGCCACGCTTTGATCCTTCGACACTTTGGCCGTTGGAAGGACGTCGAGGTGCGCTGCTGCTTCGCGCACGCGAGCGATGGCGCAGAGCTGCGGAAGGTTGGTGGGCGAGGTGGTTGGGGCCTGAGCTGGAGCTAGCTTGTGTTTGTTCCCCAATAGCCATGCTATGGGGTCTTGCAAAACTAATAGGCGGACGGGCGCCGTCGGGTCACCGTCAGAGCTCGTGGGCGGATGGTGTCCCGGTCATGTTTTGATGGCGTCCGGGTCATGCGATGCTGGTGTCCCGGTCATGTTTTGATGGTGTCCCGATCATGTTTTGATTGTGACCCAGTCATGTTGTGATGGTGTCCCGGTCATGTTGTGATGGTGTCCCAGTCATGTTTTGAAGGTGTCCCGGTCATGTTGTGATGGTGTCCCGGTCATGTGATGGTGGCGCGGTCATGTTGTGATGGTGTCCCGATCATGTTTTGATTGTGTCCCAGTCATGTTGTGATGGTGTCCTGGTCATCTTGTGATGGTTTTCCCGTCATGTCATGTTGGTGTCCCGGTCACCTTGTGATGGTGTCCCGGTCATGTTGTGATTGTGTCCCAGTCATGTTGTGACGGTGTCCCAGTCATGTTGTGATGGTGTCTCGCTCATGTTGTGACGGTGTGCCGGTTATGTTTTGATGGTGTCCGGGTCATGTGACGGTGTCCCGGTCATGTTGTGATAGTGTCCCGGTCATGTTGTGATGGTGTCCCCGTCATGTCATGCTCGTGTCCTGGTCACCTTGTGATGGTGTCCCGGTTATGTTGTGATGGTGTCCCAAT